ACAGCCCCCCTCCCCCGACAGTGTGTTGTTGCTTTCTCAATTCGGCGACCTAGCTGTCGTGTGCTGTATGGGCCCCAGCTTCAGCTGCCTTTCAAAAAATATTTGGTAAGAAACGGGAATAAGAACCGCCTCTCTCCGGTACTACAGGTGGCTTTATGCCAAATGCAAGAAGGGTAAATAGTATCGTCATCATCTTAACCCTAATCTGAACCAAAACCATGACTTAGCCCTAGCTCTAGCCGTAACCCTGATCATAATCTTAGCCCTAGTCACTCTGGCAATTAGGGTAACGTCCCCCCTCCCCGAGTACGGATGGGAGATTCAGATGTCCGTGTCCTGGCAAATCCTTAACCTAAGACTTATGAATATTCGTCTGACGAAAGAGAAAAAATGCCTACCGGACCGATCTTTAGTAGAACTTGTAAACATTTCACACTTGCTTCTTCCTCGCCCAATAAATACGACTGATTCCCCCACTCCTACAATCGCCGACATTTAAGACTTTGTCACTCGGGCCGTCTGTTCAGTCCTTTTTTCGCAGGCCGAGGAGTATTTAGCTAAAATGGATCGTATGAAGGAAGTCGTTGAGATCAGAAAGTTGGCATTTTGGGCCGACCCAACCTCGAACCCAAAACTCGATACTTCTTTTATGGAACGCAAAAATTGCAAAGATCCTCCGCCTCGCTCAATATGGTTGAACTGCATGCTTGCTCACCCAACGTGAACACATTATCGCAACAGTTTAGATTTCAGATGATTATTTGGTAATCTTTATCAGACCAATACCTGCACATAGTTACGGGGTTAATTGAAATACGCGCGTAATTAGAGAAATCGAGTAATGTGCATCTTTTTACTCAGGTAGGATGTGGGAAATATGGACGAATAATTGAAAGGCGGCCGTTATGCACCATTTAGTGTCCAATAATGATGGGCCACGGGGTGAGGAAAGGGCTGGAATGAACAGTGTACGAGGAGGGAAGGAGGCAGGGAAAAGGGCATGCAGCTATGCTAGTGCGGGGTCGGCATCAAATGCCTCCCTGTATGCAAGACCGGCGCGCGTGACCTGTTTGTGGACGCTTCTCCTTGTGGCTGGTAGACGCTGGCTCGGGTGAAACCGTACAAATCAGTCGGTGGGCTTCCGTGGGGTCCACTTGTTGCCCGAAAGCAACGATATTTGCGAGGATGCTGCCGTTTACATGCCTTATTGTTTTCCTTTCCTTAGCTAATCTGCAAGGTGTTCACTTATCCTCTTGTATAGGTGACGACTCATGCGATCAAAACCACGAGTAAATAAAGGTCTAAACGCACATAGAAATGTTCTGAATTGACAACCTACCCTTACCTTCTTCGTACGGAACAGGGTTACTCAAGAAGTAATATTTGGACTTTAGCTGCTGGGAAGATTCATGAAACAGATTTACCGAGGCGGCTTCTCGGGAGCCCACTCGATGTGTTTACTTGAAAAGGAGCCCTGAGGTACAGACTTTATTTTCTGCTGTCGGAGTGGGGGATTCTTCTGATGTTTCGATAATATTTGAAATAATTCGGTCAGAGTATCCGTTCTCGCGAAATAGGTTCTGCACTTTTACAGGCTCCTCGGTGCTATCTGTCGAACAGAGTTGTATAGTCGTTTGTGTCAAACAATGGACTACATTGCCTTTTCTTACCAGAGGAGATCAAACTTCTACAGTTGGTATACTGTCCAGACCACGTTTTATTCTACTGGGCGTTTACTTGAGCGGTCCCACCAAGAATGGAAGTAAAGCTGCCATTTCAGGTAGGATGCTCATGATTCGCGGCGTTGCTTTTTTTTGCAGTGGCTGTCGCAACGATATCGTCCACTTA